GATGTGTTAATCAAACGCGTTCCGGAATTCGTAGTTCCAATAATTTCCAGATAAAAAAAAGTTTTTAATTATATTTTAGTGTGAAATGCTATTGCAATAGATAAGTCGTGATAGTATACAGAAAATTTGAGAAAATATTAAGTTCAAATCTGTGTCTAAGCACCTTTAATATCAAAATATTACGGAAAAACAATAAGGTCTTCCGTTGGAGACGAAAGACCTTAAAAATGGCCTATCAATGTGTATGAAAGACGTCAGTCAACCAACCAAACGACAGATTGTTTTTGTAAGCAAGGTCATTGTATCGACCATAGAATTTGCAAAATGTTGACAATATATGAAATCATTGATACCCTTATATCATCAACTTATTTGTTCGTACATAGAACATGCTCTTGTGTATCCAATCACCAGGGAGACACAAACCCGATCTGCAAGTGATAATGGTATAATGCTTAATTTTAGGGAAACTGACGATAGAAAAGTTCAAGTCATCGCGCTTATCATAAAATTTAGTTGACTGTTTGCCATCAATGTCTGTCTCTAGTAAAGAGTTCAATAAGGATAGATCGAATCAACATATGAATGAAATCAGTATTAATCATTGATAAAGCGTCATCGATATATCTTAATGTCGAACTGAAGACCTCATAAAGAGACGTCCTCTTTTCGTGTAAAAAGTTTTAAAATTAGTTCTGCTTCATGAGTATACAAAAACAAGTCTGCTAATAAAGGGGCACAATTACATTGTAGACCCATGGGAATTTCAACAGATTGACGGTTGTCAATGCGGAACTCATATATCTTTTTAGTAAATTAAAGCTTCAGAGTACATGTTCTTGTGTGTTGAATCACAATGGTTTTTGAAAAGTAAGTTTGTGGAAGACAATGAGAAGATAGGAAAATTTGCGCGCTCCATTCTTATTAAAGAAGCAGTTGTCTCTGATGTCAAATAGCCTGGTTTTTTTTTTTTTAATTTATCACTGACACTGGCTGTATGAAGTGTTGAAAAACCAACTTTTCTTATTTATTTATCATTATTCCACTATCACCTGGTTATGGTGTTTATGCATCTAAACATATTCGACACGCAATAGCATGCTTCGAGAGGAAGAGTATTAGCAAATAAGTAGATGTTACAGGGATTTCTTCAAACAACTTTGTCTGAAGTCAGTATTTCGAAAATTTTATATAGGCTTTATAATGTCATAGTTTGCAAGTACAATCTGTCTTCGGGTCATATTATTGCTTACATTTTTACATACCCATCGATTAATATCAAATTACTCCGACTACCTGATCAATACATAGAGCTCATGGCGGGTGTGACCGATCGACAGGGAATACTTACTCCTCTTAGGTTGTTAACATTTGATAAAAATTTCGTGTTATTGGAAGTAATTTATATGTAAAAACAATTTAATTTGCCTGCAGTCGCCCGTATCTCAAAATTATATTTGCACCATTATGGAGATCCTGTGGAACTGTAGCCCTCTCCGGAAAATGTCAGATTAAAATAAATCGGAGAGGGCTACATTATTGCAGCTAGGAATGAACATGTATCATTCATGTTAATCTAAAAAATAAAAATTTATTCAGTGAGCAGCTCAGTCCAAAGAAAAATCAGTTTCAGTTTTTGTTTGTTTTTTTGGTGGTGGAAGGGGGGGGGGCAATTAAACAAAAGTTCATTGACAAGCAAAAAGACAAAAAAGGTCAACAGAGTGACGTTCTTTAGCTTTGTTTCTTATTGTATAGTATATGATCACATGTATTAAGGGAACAGTCACCCCGTGCCCCTCCCATTGTCCGTCATCTGGTTTCTACGGACATTGTGAAATATATACATGTGTAATTAATTTCATCCTCGCAACGCAATACCAGGGGTCCTGAGTCAACACGCTGCCGTGGGACCCCTGGCAACGTGTTGACTCTGGACCTCTGGCATTGCGAGGATGGTGTAATTTTTGAATGAATAAATCATTATTGTAAACGTTAATTTATTTTATATGTGTTTTGTGCTGTTGAAATTTGGCCCGGTTTTATGATCAAAATTCAACGACCCGTCTCTATTTTCAAAAGGCTAAGGACTGAATTCAACACTGATGTTTTCAATATTCAACGCTGAAAAAGACCCCTCGGGTCAGTTTTCAACCCGGGACAAAAATGTACGTTACAGGGGCACCATTATATTTCGGGGATTTGATACCAAGGGAACCCCAGTCAAAAAAAAAAAAAAAATTCCAATCCATAATTTCTTGTCAAGCAAATAAAAAATAGACTCCTTTCCCAAAACGTATCAAACCCAGAAAATCCCTTGACAAACAAAAAAGGGGGGAAAATACAGAGAAAAAAACGTAAAGTCCATTCCCAAACGTAAAAAAAAAAAAAAAAAAAACAATATCGTGGTGATCGTTTTCGGGGGGGGGGGGGGGGGGTCCAAACTCATTTTTTATTTGCTTCAGTATATACTTTAAATAACTCTGCAAATCCCAGGGGGATCCGGACCCCCCTCCCCTCCTAGTTCCGTGCATGAATACACAGTTATAACAGTACAGAGGGTGGTATGGTCCGTGCAGCTAGTGATGACACAAAGTCATAAACAGATAAGATAAGATAAGATAAGGTTTATTGATCCCAATTTGGGGCCCCTCAGGGCATACAAGTAAAGAATTATATACACAAGAAGAAATTCAAAATTGATAGTAACAACATGTCGATATTAAGAGAAAAGAAAAGAAACTAACTAAAGAAGATGATGATGATTATAGCAGATTATAAACAAATACATGTTACTAACAATCAAAACTGTACAGTTACGGCACTGTTTTTGGTATTCCTTTAAACGAAGTAATATTCTCGCAAGCACTTTTTCTGATAATTGTTTTTTATCTTTATTGAACTACATGAATAAAGTATATTTTTCTTTAATTAATTGAAATTTTGCTCACATGTAATATTTTCACAATCAGATTGGCTTTACTATTTGGAAAATAGAACCTCTGGTTTTGACGGTTTACCGTTTTGACATTTACCAAAAGAGTAAAATCTAAGGGGACAACTATTTGATACTGGGGGGGGGGGGGGGTGTGAAAAAAATTTCGAGTCAGATTATTTATTTTCATGCTAGTCAAGGACAGACTATTTTTATTTTAAACTTTTCAACATGATCAAGGACAGATTTTTTTCTTCTTCACTAAAAAACGTATTACAAGCAAAAAAAAAAAAAAAAAAAAAAAAAAAAAGAGGGAGGGGGAAAAGTAGAATCAGCCAAGTGTAATAGTGATAGTTTATGCTATTGTAATCATTATGATATTCAAATGTGTGATTTATTAATTAAACATTTATGAATATGTCACAACTGATTTTGAATTAAAATACACTTATGAATCTGTGTGTCCCCAATGAATATGCAATAATTCCAACAATTTCCAAAAATAATTTATATTTTTTCTTCGATATGAAATATATTATTACTTGTTTATATTGCAAATTACTAGTATATGAACAGTATAGTCAAGTAGTTGAAAAAAGTAATTATAGGGTTTCTACACAGAATCCAAATTTTCTAAGTGTTGGGAAAATGCACATCAGTTGTATTTGGTAGTCAGAGCTTCACATGCAACACATAGGACATGCATTTTAACATATCAAATGGTGATATTTCTAATTTTATCAGATTTTACATTTAATTTTTTTTTTTAGAAAGAAAAGTCTCATTTTTCATGTTTACATGGAAGTAAAAAATAATCTCAAACTTTTAATTTTTTGTTCAATCTCTTGAAAATTTGGGTAGGTCGGTCTTGAAAAACAACTAGAAAAAAAGGTAACCGAAAATTAATTCAATCTAAAATGCTGGAAAATGCACCATTCGGAGCCATTTTTAATTCAATTTCAATTCAATTTATTGATTCACCAAACATGTTGGCATACAACCATGTTACAAACAAAATGAAAAATACAGTGTGTTTTCAGATTACTAAAACATATACTAAAGTACATACATACATGCAAGTGTACAAATCATTATGCAAATAGTATAAACAGTATAATATGGACAGAGATAAACTAATTAATGCATTAAATATATATTATTGTGCTCTATTTTTAGAACGCAATTCAAAACATTCATGTAAAAAATTCGCATAGCCTTCTAGAATGAACTGCATTGTCAGGATTACAAAGTACTTTACAATGATTTTCCTTCAACATGTTATCATTTAAATTATAGATGTTCAAAAGGTAATACTATTTTCGCAAATCTTTATATATAGGACAGTCATATATGAAATGTATTTCATTTTCTACAACATTTTTACAATAGTGACAAAAACGAGATTCTTTTGGGATACAAGGCTTTGAATATCTGCCTATTTCAATTTCTAAAGGGTGTGCAGAAATTCTCAGTTTTGTTAATTTAGAACGTAGATTTATTAATTGGAAATTTCAAGTAGTCTTGTAATTCATAGTTCTTTCTAATTTGACTGTAAAATAATAATTTACCACATTTGGTGAATTCAATGTTCTGAAGTTGCAAATTAACATTTTTTATGTAGAAATTCTTCAAGTAGCTGCTAAATGTGTTATCAGTGATATCTAATGATGGAAGTTTAAGTTTCTTTTTTAATTTACCAATCTGACTCGCCAATTATCCTTTTTAAAGAAAATTTCTCGGGGGGGGGGCGTCCTGACCTCCTCCCATCCCCCTTCGGCCCTCACCCCCTCCTTCCATATGAACTTCTGGATCCGCCACTGAGATCAGAATGAAAGCCTTTCACAATAATTTGACCGCCTCTGACAAATTGAATAAGCTAGATCCCCTCCCCCTTCTCTCTTTTTTCTTTAAATTTTGTTTCAGATATTTGTTTGTTTACAAAATAAAATTATATAAAAAGGGTAAAAAGGAGGTCTCTTCTAAATATAAACAATCCTTATTTTGAACTGTTAATTAAAAACCGGTTACGCAAACGTCCTGAAAGGAGGCCATTACCTTTAGTCATGTGACTTCGGGTTGAATAAATTCTCAATTCGAAAGTACACGACATAAGCGAGAAAGGTGACAGTGTAGTCCGTTTGTCTTCTCTGACACTTGCCGTTTTTGTTGCCAGAATGTCTGCATTAAGAGGGAGCGCCAGACTTTTCAGCCGTGCTAGACCTTTATTCAGTAAGTTATTTTACCTAAAGCATATCTGATTGTAAAATCTCGACTCCCTAGAAAGTTCGACATCATGGGACGAGTTATCTAACTTGGCTTACAACAACTGTACAATGAGTTACCACTGGAATTCTGTGATATTTTAAATTTCAGACTAAGTTCAACCATTATCAAGAATTCAGTTAATTCATTGGCATTGCTTTAAAGTGAAAGTTTAGTAATCTTGGTTACAGCTGAACAAATGACAAATTCGAAATTACATAACTCGGTTTACATAAACAGTTTGTCACGGAAGGCTTACAGTACAGGACATATTACCAGGCCTACTATACAGCTGTCAATGAAATGAATTTGTATATATAATTTTCTAAATTTAAAGAATGCTTAAATCGTTGCATGTTAATTCTATGCATGTGTATAGCTGAACATCTGCTGAAAGTGAAAGTAGAGAAATGTAACGTTAGAACACTAGTGACTGTTCCTATATTTCTTAGTGAAGCACCTCACAGATGGACCAATTTGTTTGTCATTCAATTTAAGCTCACCTGAGCTGAAGGCCCAAGTGTAAAGTGAACTTATCTGATCACATTTCGTTGTCTGTCTGTAAACTTTTCACATTTTCGACTTCTTCTCCAGAACCACTGGGCATTTTCAACCAAACTTACCACAAAGCATCCCTGAGTTAGGTGTTTTTTTTTACAGGAAGTGCCACACCTCTTTCAAGGGGACATATTTAAGAATTTGTGAAAATTTGATGGCATCTTTTAAAAAAATATGAAAATTATATGAAAGCTCCATTACATTCTATACCTAGCTAGATTCAATTTTTTTAAAATCATGACCTGGTAGAAACGGTAGGGTCACAACAGGGATGTAATTGAAGTTCTTTCAAAAAATGACCCCTGGGGGTAAGGTGGGGCCACAATAGAGGATCAAAGTTATACATAGGAATATTTACTAGGAAATATCTTTAAAAATATTCTTCTCAAGAACAGCAAAGCCATAATAAGTCATATTTATTTGGAAGCATCCTCAGCTAGTGTAGATTAAAGTTTGTTCAAATCATGATCCCAAGGGGTAGGGTGGGGCCATATTAAATATGTTATCAAAGTTTTACCTAAGATTATATTAGAAAAAGAATTTGCTGATGAAGAACAGAAGGGTCATTAGTTAATCAGGTTAGCATTGTGTTCCATGAGCCTCATATTCTATTTCATTATTAACAAATTATAATTATATATAGGCTAGAAAATTAGGTTTGATGATAAATATCATGATAATTATGAGGATTGAATGATCATGGCCGGTCTTTTACAGGTCGCAATGTTTCCACAAAGGCTGCAGCAGGTCATGTGAGCAGATCCCTGAAGCCCTTAATTTTAGGCACAGCTCTAGTGGGCTATGGAGTCTATAAGTATATGAAATCAGATCAAAGTCTAGCTGAGTATCTGATGCCAGCCGTCCATGCTGCAGGCCTTCCTGAGAGTCAGCCATCGGTAAGACTTTTTCTCAAGTGGTGTCTGTAAGTTAGTGTATTCACTTCAGGCTGCAGATTAACAAGCCAGAGTTTGTGCTTTGTCAGTCTTATTTTGTCAGACTTCAAGCTGAATTTCATTTTTTATAACTTAAATATTTTTTAACTGAGATATTTATGAAACAAGAGTTTTTATTTTTCATAACTATGATGACTGTCAAATGATTTTGACTAATCTATGTTGTCAGCGTTCAGAAATTGTTACCTATGTGAGATTGTTCTGTTTTTGGTAGGTATACTCCCAAGGTAAGAATCATGCCCTGTATCTGTGGATCAGTCTAAAGCCTGAGGCTAATGCTAAGGAAGTAGCTAAAGCTGTGGCCAAACTTCAGAAGTACGTAGATCAGGTCACCGACCCGAGTATGAAGGACGAGGAAGACGAGATCTTGGCTGGTGTGGGATTCGGACCCAACTTCTATAAACAGGTGGGAGATGTTTATATATATATTATTTTTACATGGTTTCTGTTACAAACTGTGATGGTTAAGTAACTTGGTAACCTTTAATTCTATTTTTTTTTTTTGTCAAATTAATGTGTTAAGCATCTGATAAAACAAATTGCTAATTGTAATGAAACTTTTATTTTTGACGTATGCTTTTTAGTGACATGATATTTTTTTGATCAACCAGATAGTACATAGTCACTGTATAAAAAATGATTTTGACCTTTATAGATTGGAGGAAAACCAAAGCAGGAGTATACATATCCTTACCGCAAAGGATATCTGGGGGAAATGCCCAGCTCTGGTAAGACTGCAAATGGATTGAAATTCCTAAAAATCTGACAGTCATAAATTTAAAAAGTGGTACTCCCTATCCATTTTCTAATAGATGATTAAATAAATAATTGGCAGAAAACATGAGAACTTTGATCCTGCTACAGAAAACCTTCTGCAGTACAGTTCATCTGAACAATATTTCAAGATAGTCAAAAGCTGTCCTTGTTTTTATCAAAACTTTTGATTCCTACTTTATAGGAGGAGATGTATTTATCCATGCCAAGTGCAACACCCCCAGCAAGCTGTTTGAGCTGGCCCAAGTTGTGATGAAAAATATGCCGCCCAATAGTGTGGAATCATTTGAGGACATTTACAGCTTTGTGTACAAAAATGGCAGAGACCTGTCAGGTTTTATTGATGGTAAGTTGTTTCAATATAATGCAAATCTCCGATGATCATTAAGTAAAAAAAAAAATTGCTCTAAAAATCATATTGATCTATACATATATGTCATAGTTTATCTGAATACCTTGCAATCCTTTTATAATTTTGATAATTTGGCTATATTGTCAAACCTCAGTAAGATTGGATAGTTTACTTCTTCTTTGACACAGTTCTTCATCGAATTTGTTCTACTGTAGTTTGAATTTTGATATCTATGTGTCAACTTTATATGGTCACAGTAGTGTAATAAAAAAAAAGAACAAAGGGGGAAGAACTGATGTCTGACTAATTTACTGCTTCATGTATTATACTTGTGGTGACATCAGGGTTAGAAACTCCCTAAAATTACAACTCACAAATAATTGCGAGTACCAAGAAAGTGAACTTGCAATTGTATAAGAATACTTGCAATTTTCATATAAAAGCCTTTTTAAAATTAAAATTAAATACATGCTACTTAAGGGAAGAGTAACTATACTGTGTAATACACAAAATACAACTACAGACTACAGTGTGACTTTTATTTAAATTAAATTATTGATTTAAATCAAAAGCATTGTGTTCTGTCATATTATGTAATTTTGCTACAGTTTCAAAGCATGGTTTTTTTCTTACTTTATCTTGATAATTTAACTGCAATATGAGGAATTAAATCTATGGTACTGTATTTATACATCTATTTTTAGAAAGTGACAAAGTCCTTACAAATTTTATCATGTTTATAATACAGTTGCACAAATAAGTCATTCACAACTGTTTTTTTTTTTTTCGAGGGTCATATTTAACCCTTTTCCCATGCCCGTTATTTTTTAAGATTTCAAATGAAACACAGGATCATCATTGTTGGTGCTGTTCATTTGTTTTCAGCACCCTCTTCCAACTGCCGTTTAAAAAAGGACTAGCCATGCTGATATTTGAAGGGGGAAATAAAATACATAACCAAAATGAAAACTATAACCAAGAAGGGACTGATTTTTCTCAAGGAAAAAAAATCAACTCGCAAGTTTTTGCGAGTTACCTAATTTTTAACTCACAATTTGGGAATTCTAACTCGCATTTTGCGAGTTGTATATAGTGAATTTCGAACCCTGGACATCTATTGATTCAGAAATTACAGGTACACCAAAAAATGTTGTTATAAAAAAACAGTAACAGATAGGCAAATCTGGCTTTATAATTAGATATTTATATGCCAGATATCCTCATTTGATTTTTAAATATTGATGAAATTGATCTTTTCTAAGGTATCCATGGTATTAGTTTTAAATAATGACACCTGCTGTATTCTGTCTATAAATTTGAGATTCTCTCAGTTACAATTATGCAATGTATAAATGTATAAATATGATATTTCATAAGTTGTTTTAAATTGTTTGTGTGTGATAGGGACAGAGAATGCCGCTGATGAGGAATCCAGACAGAAGATTGCCGTAGAACCGGAAACAGGAGGCAGCTACGTGGTCAGGAAAATCAAGTCTAAACTCAAACTAAATCAGAATCATTCAGGTGTTAGATACTGCAGGGGTTGAAATATATGGTAGCCCGATGCCCAGGGCTAGTTATTTTAAGACTCGGGCTAGCTAATTTAAATGTAACAATAGTCCCTTGGACTAGCAGAACTGAAAAAAAAATTCTTGTCAGTTTACTTTAGCTTTTCTATGTAGACTGGTTTCTTTTGACTGAGAACTAGTTTAATTTGTTTCTGTCACCAAAGCGTTTGAAACTTCAACTTGTTATGTTTTCATTTGCATAAAAAATTGTTGGGCTAGTAAACGATGTTTGGCCTAGTAATTTTTTACTGATCGGTAGCCCCTGGACTAGTAGGTTTTCCAGGAAAATTTCAACCTCTGTACTGAGTCTTTAAGTCTCATTTAATCTCGTATAAAATCTGAATCATTCAGATTCGGGCTGGGACGATACAGCGTCTTCTATATCGATACGTATCACGATATTTGAGCCATTATACGATATGTATCATGATATGTTGAATTGGTTATAAAATCTTCTTTTTTGTATTGAAATAAACAAAAAATTTCTTTGGAAATAAGAATAATTTATTCAAAGAAGTTATATATCTGTTCTAAAGCAAAATTATTTTACACAAGTTGTGTTAATTATAATGTATTTCATATTTATATTTATATTAAGCATATTTATTTTATATATTAAACCCAAAATTTTAGGTAAACAAAGAAAAACGTAAGTCAGAATTTTTTGTGATATTTTGATATTTCTTCTTACGTATCGATATGCGTATCGTCCTCACACAGAATCGATATTATCGATATCTCGATATATCGTCCCAGCCCTTATTCAGATGTTAGATACTGAGTCTTTTAGTCTCATTTAAACTCAGACTAAATCAGAATCATTCGGGTGTTTAGATACAGGGTCTTTAAGTCTCATTTAAACTCAGACTAAATCAGAATCATGCAGGTGTTTAGATACAGGGTTATTAAGTCTCATTTAAACTCAGACTAAATCGGAATCATTCAGGTGTTTAGATACTGGGTCATTAAGTCATGTTAGTCTTGTTGCTGCTGATGTCTGATACTAAGTTGTCCTGTAAATCAATATTATGGACTCTGACACTTTGTTATTAAAACTGGGAGATAATTTAATCCACAGATGCCTTAGACAAAAAGTTATAAATAGTGATATATAAGCTAGACATCTGTGACTTAATAAGAAGTCTGAATGTAAAACAAAGAATAATTAATGTTTTTGATCACCTTAGTATTTGAATAGCTAATGCAGTGAAAATGTTTATACACATATGTAAAGCAATGATTTTCCTGCATTACTGGGAGTGGCACATCCAAGAGATTTCTTTTCCCAATTTGTTACACAATTTTTGTATATTGTATTTATTTTTATCATGGTGGATTTGTTTTCTATTTAGATCACACAAAAATGGATTCATGACCTGAAAGTGATTGACAAAGAAAAGGGTAAGGTGGAAATTATAGTATGTATTACTATAGATCCAGAAAATTTGAGGCCAATTGTTAATCCATGTTACATATAATGTTTCAATATGCAAGAGCATGTTCTTCGTTTAAACAATTTCTAAAACAAGTCAAACTACTGACAAACTAGCTATGATACACAGTTATCAACAATCGTGTTTGAAGTCAACATTTCACAAATTCTATGGTCAATACAATGACCTTGTTTGCAAATTCAATCTGTCATTAGGTTGAATGTTGACAGATGTCTTTCATACAAGTTGTTAGGCCATTATTTTCATACTGAATTTTCTATGGATTTCTCCACTTACGTGATCATGACGAAGAGCATGCGGCAGCTGTGAATGGTCGACAGGATGCTTACTCCTCCATGGCACCTGATCCCACCTCTGTTCTAAGAGGTCACAACTTGTATGTTTCAATGGAGTTTTAAGCATGATTACTGTTTGTCATCATAATCTTCATATTTCACCAATCTGTAGATAATGACGTTACATATACAGCTGAACTTGGGTATCTCAAACACAGATATCTCAAATACCATGGATATGTCAAAGTGATTTGGATGTCCCAATTGCCTTTTTTAACACTCTTTCTTTAGTATTTTACCCTCAATATCTCAAACCCTTAGATATCTTGAAGTTTTTTCTCAGTCCCATCAAGTTCGAGAAAACGAGGTTTGACTGTATTCTAACCAAGGTTTGACTGTATTCTAACCAAGAAATGATTTTTCATTATATCTGAAAGCATTTCAGTGTTTGTTGAAAGAACTTTTCTCTTAAATTGCATAAATCATTTTATCAAGATCTTTAACCAGTAGAAATGTATTGAAATAGGAAAAAACTTGCGATACTGCAATTGGAATGTTTATTTTATTTACACTTATGAATGATATAGTTGTACTTTTGGGGATTGTATTTATGTTACTTTGTTTCAGACAAGACGTTGGAATCCTGGGTTGGCAGGTCTCGCCCTGACAGTACTGAACTGAGTCGTAAATCAATCACCTCCCATGTAGCCAGGATGACTGGAGGTACGCTCACTGCCAGTCAGAAAAGAGCTCTTAAGAACTAGTTTTTCTACAGTATAAAACTTGACATTATTACTTATTCAACAATATGTACCTTATCTGTTATGATATGATATCCTGTACCAGAAAATATTTGGGATAAAAGACATTTTTCTTGAAAGTTTGACTGTTTGATGATAAATTGATTGTAAAACATACATTTAGACACACACTGTGTACAGTATATCTTATTGTAATGCTTTATGAAATTGCAGCTACATGTACAGTATCTCAGTTCTTGAAAAAGATTAAATGGTACATGTATGTTTCTATGTAGTACTATGATTTGCAGGGGAAAAAAGGCTAATTATAGATAGTTTTCGTATAACGTATTTTCCCTTCAAGTTATTTCCCTTGCAATCAAGGAGGTAAAACTGGTAAATTTGCCTCTTTGAGCAACCAATTTTAAACATTTATGACAGAGATTTAAGGGCAAAAATCTTTAAAATACTAAAATTTTAAAATAAAGGAGGCTTTTGTTAACATATATTAATAACAAAACTGTGTTATCTTCACCTCATTGACCAGTTTGATAAGTTCAAATTGGTTGAATAATGAAGGAATCTGGGCTTGTTGACCTCCAATATAGCGACCAACGGGAAATAACTGCTAAAATAGCATCAATCAAAAACTATCATATGTTAATGATGCGTTCTGCTTGAACTGTAACAATTATTTTCTTTGAATTTTTAGGAAATGGCTGGCAACAAGCCAAACCGGTGGAGATTGTACGACAGTCTATGCCATTTGGAACGCTGGGCTCTGAAGCAGGTCTCTTTTTCATTGGCTATGCAGCCTCCCCCAAAAACCATGAGTACATGCTGGATCGCATGGTAGGAGCCCGTGATGATACCAACTGTGATGACATCATGAGGCTGTCAAAGAATGTGAAGGGAACGTACTGGTATTTCCCAGGAGCTGACGAGCTCAAAAAGTTTGCGTGAAGTGCTTTCTTGTAATACAATCAAAGGCTGGGACTAAACATTTAACATTACTGCTCATTAAATGATCTAGCATTTATATAGATGTTTCTATGACAATACAATAATTTTCATGCAGTAGACTGTAACACTCTTGATATGTATGTGTACGCAATTTGCACGATAATAAAATATTTTATATTCATTGATATATGTACTGAGTTGTTTCTGTGTAATTTTTTAAAATTTCCAGAAAGTGTAAAATTCCAGGTTAATGTAGATATACTTACAGTATTTTTTTTTTATTTATTATTATTATTATTATTATTTTTTTTTTTTTTTTTGAAAATGGAACTATGAGAATTGAATATACTTGTTATTGTGAACATCAAATTATTGAAACTTTCAAACCATTTTATACATAGAGGTTGCGTCATCAAGCCAACACTGAATATGGGTAGTACTATTCTCTATTGAGAAGTTGGTGGCTCGTTTTTAATACTCCCCCTCAAGGGGAGTATTAAAACGAGGGTAGCACGTAACCTGTGTGTAGACATTGCTTTCAATTTGTTGCACTCTTGGAGAGGACGTTACACTTTTCAGTTATGAATTCGTGTAAGAAATGTGAAAATAGAGGTATTTGTGGTCTTTTAGCTGTTTAGTTAGTATGTCAGATTCAAAGGGGGGAAAACAGGGGTTCACAGGAGGAGCATCGTAATATTGCAAAATTTAAGCAGAATCAAAATTGATTTCGTATAGGGTCGGGTCAAAAGAAATCGCTACCAGAGTTGTCGTTCATTGACAGATACATAATGCATTGTGCGTTACACAGTGTTACAAGAACGATTGGGATAAGCGGGGAACAGATGGGAAAGGAATATAGTAACAGTAATTGGCGATAATCTTGTGAGCCAAAAATTGATTACGGGAGAAGATAAAAGTTTACAGCATAAATGATCAAATGGCAATCAAAAAGTTCCACGAATCTATAAATAAATTGGGGATTTCCATTTTGACTCGAGTCAAAAAGTTGAAAGTTTGTGGTTTGTTGTGTATTCAGTCAGATCTTGATTCATCTACGACAGACGAACAGACGTGGAAATATATAATGATCGCTAAGCAATGTGGGAGAATAGCCGATCGAGATTTACTGTCAACTGATCAACAGATCAAAGCAAGGTAAATATGTACGTTCTTACCTTTTAAAAAAGCACCTTTCATTGTTGATATAACTCTTTTCAACTGATTATATCATCTTTTCAAATTGCATTGAATCAATTCTAAATCGTCTCTGTTCCTGATCAGGTATAATATCATAATATCATGAATATGGTAGTAACAAATTGATCTACGGTAGTTCACCTGAACCAAATGCGAAGAATGTCCCCAACCGTCTGTCGGTTTGTGTGTGTGTGTGTCGTCTGTAAATTTTCCAGGCATTCAACTTCTTCTCCAGAGACCACTAGACCAATTTCAACCAAACTTGTCTCATATAATCCTTGAAAAAAAAGGGGGGGGGGTCATGTATATTTATTGAAGGGGCGCCTTCTTTCAGGGGAGATAACTATGAATTATTAAGAACTTCAAAATTATTCTATCATCTGATGAAGAATCAATACACCAGAATTAAAAGATGAGACTTATTAGCATGTGAAAGCTTCTGAAGTAAGGGTGGGGGCACACTATTGGGGATCAAAGTTTTACATAGGAATTTTTAGGAAAAAATTAAAATCTTCTTGCAAACAATACGGGATTAAATAAGTTTTACATGGGAATATAAGGAGGAATTTTGAAAACATCTTATGCTACTTCTCAAGAAAAGCAGAACCATGCATGATTAGTCATATTAATTAATAATTTAATTTTGGTTGTAATGCATTATTTGATTGGATAAAAAAATTAGACTATATATTGTATAACCCGGGTTGCCTATGTCACAATGACTTACACGTTATATTTAAAATGTGTACATTTTGAAGGCATATTTGAAGGAGAAATTGTCTTATTTTCTATACTTAATGATGGAAAATTAAATTATAAGGAATGAATTTAATCAAGCTACCAAAGTTATACTGGTATAACCTGGGTAACGGAACAGTTTATTTTTTTTTATAAACCGCTTCGTGGTTTAAAAAGCATAAACTGCCCCAACCCAGGTTATACCAGCATAACTTGGGTAGGTATTAAATTCATTCCTTAAATATTCAGTATCTTCAGGTATAGTGCAGATTTATCTTCATCAAAATCATGGAGAGGAATGTGGTAAACAACACAAGTTGAGATGGAGAATAGGTAGTACACATGTATGTAAAAGTAGGAATTTAAAGTAGAAATTACGCTGTAACTAAGTCATACTTCATTCCAAATTTGCATGAGTGACATCAAGTTACAAAAGGTTGCAATATTACTAATATACATGAAGCTGTCAACCATGAGCAGATTCTGATTGAAAGTTTGTAACATACATTATTCTTCCAGATTTGTGGCCACGTTTCAATTTTAAAGTACAGTGGAGCCCCCTTAATCCGGACGCCAATAAGTTAACCCAGACACTTCACTTTCCAGACAAAATTTGTGAGGAACAATTTATATTTTACAGACCAAGTATATTTCAGTAATCTGAATGCTTTATTAATCTGGACAATTTGCTTGGGAACACAGACCGGTTTGGATTAACGTCAGGTATGACTGTAGTCATTACAGAATGTTTTTTGTTTAGTTTTTGAATTATTTAAATCATTGATCAACGTGATCAAATTTATGAGACAACATTTGGAATCTAACCAAACATATATTTAAGAAATAAACAACAATGTTAAAAAGTTCTCTGGGAAATGAACTTGGTTGGTCACGTGATCAAATCCTGTGAAGCCCGAAGGGCTTCTCAGAAGATTTGATCACGTACCAACCAAGTTCATTTCCCAGTGAACTTTTTAACATTGTTGTTTATTACTTTTATTTACATTTGAGACGAATATTCTGAATAGAACTGCATTTATTACACGAACGGCCCGCCGTATTGCTATGTTGTGACGCGCAATGACCTAGAAGTTGTTTGGTCTTGAGAGTTCGCCTCGCTCCAACATTTGAATACTTACATTGATGTTTAGCAGTCCAGTTCAGGAAATATCTGTTCATAATGAAAAAACAATGATCGCTACTGGGAATTATCTTACTATTATTGTACGAGTTCTTTATATACAAAGTCAAAAGCGGTGCTATCGTCTTCAGTTTACATACCTTCAAAGGAATTTCGGGTTAAAAAGGTAAGCGTGATTTTAGGCTAATTAGAAACATTCTTCACACCGAAGAAAGATCTAACGATCATTTGTTGAACGAAAAAAAAATATATGTTTCAATAATTTTATCTTTTTCATCGCTTTGACGGTTCAGAAGTTCCGAAACCAGTGTCACTGTGACAGAAATATGTAGACAAGATATCGTCTCGCTGTGTGATTCGGTCACGCCATGACCTCTGACCCCCTAATAAGTTCATACAGAATTGAACATATTTTCTCTTCTATAGGTTCATCTAAGAAAAATATTTGCAAATGTAAATAATTAAGAATTAAATAACAAGGTTAAAAAGTTCTCTGGGAAATGAACTTGGTTGGTCACGTGATCAAATCCTTTGACACCCGAAGGGCTTCACAGTAGATTTGATCACATACCAAACAAGTTCATTTCCCAGTGAAGTTTTTAACCTTGTATTTATTACTTATATTTACATTTGAGACGAATATTCAAATAGAAATATTACATGAATGGCCTACCGTATCACTATGTTGTGACACGCAGTGACCTAGAACTGGAAGTTTTTTGGTCATGAAAGCTAGTTCACCTTGCTCCTACATTTGAATGTTAACGTTGATGTTAAGCAATTAATTAAGAAATTTCTGTTTATAATGATAGAAGAATGATTCCAGGTATTGAGAATAATCTTATTATTTTATGAGTTCTTTATAATATGTTGAGTCAAAAGTGGTATGTGGTATCATCTGTTTCAGTTTACATACCTTCAAAGGAATTTTGGGTTGAAAAGGTAATGATTTTAATTTATTATATTAAAACCATTCTAAACATTGAAGGAAGATCTAATGGACATCTGTTGAATAAAAAAATATCCATATGTTTTAATTATTTAATTTTTGTCACCACTATCAACATGATCAAGCTAGAAGTTTCGAAACCAGTTTCACTGTAACAGAAATATGTAGGCAAGATATCGTGATTTGCTCACGCTATGACCTCTGACCCCCTAATAAGTTCATACAGAATTGAACATATTTTCTCTGCAATATAAGTTCATCTAAGGAAAATATTTGCAAATGTAAATATAACATAATGTTTCATCCCTGAAAATACATACAAACTAGCTGACATTTCATTTTTTTCTATCCATGTCCTGTTTTAAATAGCATTTTTTAATATCAGATCTGGAAATAGACCAAAGCTCATGTAATGTGATATAACATCCCAGTAAAGTATTGTACGTCCTATGGACCTGTGTTATGAGGGCCTAGCTATCCTGAGACACAGATTACTCTAACTAATGTGATCCCAGCTCATATGATTCTGTCATCCTTCAAATTCCTGCATGACATTCTTTGAAATTATATATTAAGTAAGCATAATATACTCAATTTAGAGTGTTCTGATGATGTACGTTCTTGACCTTTAAAAATGTTATGAATTAAAGTTATCACATGCAAGAAATTAATAAATAGAAGTAATGAGTTTAATGTTTAATAAACCACAGTCATATTACTAAAGTTTTTGTTTCTTTGACTCCCTTTATTTTACATTCTGTTGCCTTGTCACATTATGTCCAATTTAAAGGAAACTGTATACACTTTTAGGTTGCTCAGTTTTATTGGATACCAAAAAGGAGAAATGGATATCTCAAGACTGGGTAAGACTTTAATAAATGGCAGGGCATAAATGACCCTGGGCCCTGTACCCTTTCAATTGGGAATTTTAAATTGAGAAAGTGGGAAAATTTGGAAATATTAGTGTCTTATATATTAAAGGGGCTTGGATGCAGTTTTGAGGTTAATATTTTCTAATATTTTCAGTATAATATGACTTATTTGCTGCTAGAGCGTTTCACACCAAAATATTATAAAAGTGTGTTTAGAAACTCCTTTTATCTACAATTCATTTAAAATTTATTAAAACTGCAAATTTCTGAACTCGTTTAATTGACATCCTTGCACATGTAACAGGAAAGGAGAAAATGCATGGCTGGTCCAGGAATCGAACCCGGGACCCCTGGATCACTAGTCAGGTGCTCTACCTACTGAGCTACCCAGGCCGACATCCTCAGCCCAAACCATTACATTCCTCCCTCCTTAAATTGTCTTTGCCCTGTTAGACACCACCCAAGTTCGTATTAGCTCCTGGCAGGACTTTCACCTGCAAGTCCAGGGGTGGTCAACAGTACCAAATCTATAACAGGAAAGGAGAAAAAGTATGGCTGGACCAGGAATCGAACCCAGGACCCCTGCATTACTAGTCAGGTGCTCTAACCACTGAGCTATCCAGGCCGATGTCCATGGTCCGTAAAGCCCAAACTTCCACACATATTTTATCATTAATATTTAAGAAAAATGAAATTTGTTGTTTATTAATGAACAAACATCAAAACTATCCAGAAAATTCAGAGAACGTCAGAAAGCATATCCAACTCATTGTATTGCCAGTCCCTGCTCAGTGATGTATGCAGAGTAAACAAGTTGAACACACCCAGAAAAATGTAAACATTAACACTTTCCATAACAGTGCTCGTGCCCATATTTACACAAACAGATGTTTGACGTAATGTTATCAAGAATGTCCTTGTGATGCAATTTTAAGAATTTTCATGCAAGTACAATTTATTAACCTGAAGTTATCTTTTTAATAATAATAGAGGTTTAAAATTGTAAACAAATTGGCAATGCAACTGTGTCCAGGCCCCTTTAAGCTTTACTGTTGAATAAAGAGTTAGATTGAAGGCAGGGCTTAATGTACATTGCATGCATGTCCCGTAAAAGGACTCTGTCCCAATTGAAAATTGACTCTTTTTTTCCCCTGAAATATATTTCAGTCAGTATGTTATGGTCATCATACTGCAACATTTTGAAGACAATTTATTGTTTTATTTTCTGTAAACTGGGTAAACTGTAAACGACTAACATGGAGATTACATCACTACCGTACATTTACTCGTCACAGTAGGTAATGCAGATAAATTGGCAAAAGTAAATTTGAAATTGTGAGTGAAAATTAAATTTAACTGATCACTTTGGCTGACCTTTTTATGCCCCCGTATTGAAGATTCAGGGGTATATAGTTTTTGCCCTGTCAGTCCGTCTGCCTGTCTGTCTGTCTCTTTGTCCGCAAAAACTTGAACCTTGCCCATAACTTTTGAATGGTTGAAGCTATGGCTTTCATATTTCACCTGTGTATTTCTTGTGACAAGACCTTTCTTTGGGTACCACCAAATTTGACCTTTTGACCTTGACCTTGGAGTTTGACCCAGTTTTGCAAAATTTTACCAAACTTTAACCTTGGCCATAACTTTTGAACAATTGGTGCTAGGGCTTTTATACTTCACATGTGTAATCCTGGTGACAAAACCTTCCTTTGGATACCCACAACTTTGACCTTTTGACCTTTACCTAGGAGTGGAGTTTGACCTACTTTTGGAAAACTTTAACCTTGGCCATAACCTTCAAACGGTTGGTGCAAGTGCTTTCTTATTTCACATGTATAATCATTGTGACATAACCTTTCTTTGGATACCCACAACTTTGACCTTTTGACCTTGACCTAGGAGTTGAGTTTGACCTACTTTGGGAAAACTTTAACCTTGGCCATAACTTTTGAACGGTTGGTGCTAGGGCTTTCTTGCTTCATATATGTAATCCTTGTGACAAGACCTTTCATTCGATACCAACAACTTTGACCCTTTGACCTTGACCTTGGAGTTTGATCTACTTTTGGAAAACTTTAACCTTGGTCATAACTTTTGAACGATTGGTGCATCGGCTTTCATATTTCACCTGTGTATTATTTGGGAGAAGGCCTTTCCTTGGGCAACATTAATTTTGACCATTTGACCTTACCTTGATGTTTGACATACTTTTGAAAAAACTAATTTTTCCAGATCTATTCAATGGTTGCTGCTAGGGCTTTCATAATTCACAGGTTTATTCCATGAGACAAGACCTTACTTTGGGTACCAACATAATTGATTTGCATTTGAGAAAGTTTAACCTTTGCTTTAAGTTGCCATACGGGGGCATCAGTGTTTCACAAACACATCTTGTTTAATAACCATAATATATTTGCTGGTCATCAGCTTGTACACCGTGATATGATGTGGATTCAAATTTGTGTCAGAGTCCATTTTGAGCAAGGGTTAGGGCCAATGCTAATAGGGGATTAAATTTTACATGATAACATGCATATAGGGGGAATATTTTTCTGAAGAACAACAGGGCCACAGTAATTCAAGCATTGTGGCCTATGGGCCTCTTGCTTAGGTTGTTTGTCTATTAGCTCACCTAGATTCAAATGAGCTAGTTTATCTGTTGTCCATCTATCTGTGAGTTAACACATTTTGGGAACTTACTTCAGAACCCTAATTAGGCCAATTTCAATGAAACTTAGCAAAAAGGATTTTTAAGTTAATGGAAATTCAAATACCTTCAAATGAAGGGACACATGCAGTTCTCTTCATATTATGATTAGTAAGTAACAGTATGGTACGTGTTACTATGTAAAAAAAAATCTTTTCAAGATCACTGGGCTAGATCATTATAATTACTGCGTGTATAGATTCAAGTTTATTAAAATCATGGCACAGAAGGAAGCTAGGGACTACACTGAGGGATCATATTGATATTCCAACATCCCTTTATAGTGTAAATTCATGTTAGTTCTATCATGACCTCAAGAATTAAGGGTGGAGTTAAAAGAGGAGACGAAATTGTATAACTATTTACATTGGAATATATGTATATCAGAAAGAAAATCTCTTATCTGCAACCATCATGTAATCTTGCAATTATATGTTCCTTTAGCAAAATTATAACTAGCCAAAACTTTGTAACCTTTATAAGGTGTTACATTTGGCTGTGTATTCTTTTTTAGCGCCTTTGGCAGAAAGAAACTTCCACTAAGTCAAGTATATCACTAAATGTCTTGCACATATACTCATAAATAAGAACATCAAGAAATGCGCTAAATCAAATCTATGCTAACCTGTTCAAAAATTAATTTCTGCCAAATATCGTACACGCCAAATATAATACATTTACAACTGTAAATTACTTAATTGAAACTTGAGTGTATGCTTTTCAATAGCCATGGCCTAACCATGTATCATCTGAATGATTCATCAGATCACATCTCAGAGATAAAATGGGCTGGGAGAGACATCCTTTTTTTGCAGAAACAACTTCTAGCTTAGTTTCCATTATGATTCATGGTGGCAATTTAAGATGAGCATTCATAAATATTTAATCAATTGAATTACAGGGACTTTTTTGTTCTTAATGATTTTACGCTGTGGAGATATTGAACCAAACCCTGGACCAGCACAGGAAAGTTCAGCTAAATCAGAAGTGTTACGGAGATTTACTCGCTGTATACAGTCGGAACTTGTAAAACTCATTTATAATGCAAAGAACAAAGAAATACCAAATCCTAATAATTTATATGAAAATGACCCTCCTGGATGGAACTCTTTTAAAGTAGATATTAAATTTGAAAGTGTCCAAAAGGGTAGATCCCAGAGTTTTGATAAACTGGTAGAATTATTCAAGAGAGAAGTCCGCAAAATGCCGAAAGACATTGCAGATGTTTTAAACTGCTATGAGAAGCTTAACCATTCCAACAGAAAAACTGATGAAATGGAAAAGCTAAAATTTAAAACAGCTTTAGAAAACTATGTGTCCAGAAACAGGGCCTTAAAAAATAGACAGACAGTTCTGGATAATTTAGATGAAGAGCTACTGATAAAAGCACTACAAAAAGCTACGGAGATGGCAAAACTTGGTTCCTTGGCCTCCTCTCCTGATGGCCTTGATAATGTCCTTGATGCTATAAATAATTTTGTGGATGCTGTAGAACATGTTCATGCTGAACTACTGGTAAGTGAATGCTGAATGTTCTTTTACCCATTAATTTTGCTAGATTTGCCATATAAAATCAAATGAAGAGGGACAAAAGTCATTTATACACACTAGTTAAAGCACTTCAGCCAATGGTTACTTTAAATGTGATTTCACATTAGTTTAGCCAATAATCTTCCCATGATTTAAAGTGTATATATATTTTATATCATTTCAGTTACCAAATAGTGGAAGAAAGAGATCTTTAACTAGTGACAAGGTACATGTATTTCCATTCTTTATTGTATCTATAATTATCAGTATTACCTTAAAAAGCATCAGGTTTCACAATTTTGACAACTCCAGGTCTGTGGGAATCAAAGGAGAATATCCAAACAGAACCCTCCAGGCTTCTACGGAGCTGCATCTTAATTTAGATTCACCCTTGACTATACCAATAAGAATACAATAATTATGACATTTTATTATCAGTCTTGAGGCCAGGAAAAAGCCCAGATATATCACTTGAAGGCTGAGAAATGTTTTATTTATTTCATTTTATTTCAGATCTCATTTTGCTGCAATTTTATTCCATCAATCAAACTTTAATAGGGACATTTGCCAAACATAAGGATTTAATTAAATATATACAGTGTCATAAAATATTATGCATTGTATGAGCCAGCTCTCTCTCTCTCCGAGTCTCTTTCACTCACAAAATATTTTAACAGCCACAAAAACTTAAATAAAAAAAGGTAGTCAATCCTCCAATGAGGATTAAGAATAGCAATTTAGGCATCAACTTTTTACTAAAGTTGGATTGGAATAAAATTTAATCTCTCTATAATTATGCCACCCTGAACGTATTGTGGGGGACATATAAATGTTTCACCTATAACTTGATTTGTATTTGTCTCGATATTTTCTGCAACTCTAAAAATAGTCTATTTGTCTAGATGTTTTGTCTAGATAGTTTTTACAATTCAGATTCAGCAGGTAAAAAAGCGGCGGACGCTGGCACAATGTAGATTTAAAGGGAAGGAAAAGATTCAAACTTCAAAGGCAAGATTTACAATTAGACATTTATATGCACTGAATATTTTCGCTTTTATTACTTAAGAAAACCATTGTAGTTTATCAGTCTGTAAACACCGCTAAGCATACGTATCACCTGTACAGATTTCATAGCAGTGGCTCTTCCATCAATGAAGCACACAGTGATGTAAATATCAATAATACAAATTTAATCTACCAAATTCTACTTTAGATGATTATTTGAACAGATATAAATTTGTCTTTCTTTGTTAGTATGGGAATTAACATTGCAGCTGTTGCAAAAAAAAAAAATCCATAACCTGCTTACAAGGATTATGCATATTTTCTGCAACAGCTGCAACATTAATTCCCATACTAACAACCAAAGAAAGCATTTTATTGTTTAATTTAATAATATTTGTTCAAATTGATTTTGTACATTATAATCTGATTTAATACAAGGTTGATAAATTTTAGTTTTATGATATTACTTTGGATTGATTTTGTAGTGTTATAATCTTGAATTAGTTAAACTACTGTTATGACTTAGATTCTATAAATTAATTGTTATAAATTAGGGAAAACAATCTACAGGAAAGATCAGGAATGCCAAGAAATCACCCAGAATTTCAGATCCTAGTCAGGAAGCCTGGGAACCCATCAATACAACTCTCTTTTATGAAGAAGTCCATTCTAGGGTAAAAAATAAATTCTTTGTTTTGTACTTTTTATGACTGTGACGTACCACATTGATTGCAGATATGTGCATGCTATTTTGCTAAATGCATTTTTCTCAAAATGAAGCTAAATAAATACACACAATTGACACAAATGTGAATCATATATGATTTCTTTAGTTAAAGGGCCTCGCAAGAAAATGTGGAAGCCCTATGGGAATCACATTGTCCGTCCATCTGTCCATACATCAACACTTTTTATAGCTCTACTGGTCAGAGACCAGAAGAGCTTATGCAATATTAAGGTGTCTGTCGTCCGTCTGACTGTCCATCTGTCTGTAAACAATTTTCAAAAACTCTACTCCTCCTACAATTTTGGTCTGATTTCAATATAACTTGGCACATAAGTAGACTACACTAAGGTACATAATTCTGTGTATCGGTTTTAAATTCTGATGAACTGTGTTGCCATGGCTACTAAAAATAGAGATTTTTGGGAAATACTTTCAAAATGCTAATACTCCTACAGTTTTTGTCTGATTTCATTAAAACTTAGCACACAAGTAATCTACACTAAGATACATAATTCTGTATATCGGTTTTTGATTTCGATGAATGGTGTTGCCATGGTTACTAAAAATAGAAATTTCTTTGAAAAATTTTCAAAACGCTATCCTCCTACAGTTTTGATCTGATTTCAATATAACTTGGCACACAAGTAGACTACACTAAGATACATACTTCTTTATATCAGTTTTTGATTTCGATGAATGGTGTTGCCATGGTTACTAAAAATAGAAATTTCCTTGAAATATTTTCAAAATGCTTCTCCTTCTACTGATTTGATCTGATTTCAATATTTCTAATTTTTGTCTAAGTTCAAGAGGGATAACTCTGTCAAAAATCATTGGACCATGACCAAATTCGAACTTGACCTGGGTTTTCCTATGATGTATACATATGTCAAATTTGAGTTGAAACCTCGAAACTTTGAATATTTGAGTGCAACTGTTGCAGAGATAATAAACGGAAAATGAATGATGACAGAAGGGCGGAATGACAGAATATGGTAACACTATATGTCCCGGCCATTTCATAGCAGGGGCATAAAAACTTTAACCTTGGCCAGTGGCCATAACTTTTGAATGGTTGATGATAGGGCTTTCATATTTTACAGGTGAATTCCTTGTGACAAGACCTTTATTTGGGTACTGATATTTTCAATCTCTTGACCTTCACTTTGGAGTCTGACTGTATAAGCTCAATTGATGTTAATTTCACATTTAACATTAAATTATAATGTCAATCGAGCTTATACATGAATTTAACATTAATATTTAATGTTATTTTAATGTTATTTTAATGTTAAATTAATGTTAAGTGTTAAATTAACGTTAATTAGTTCACACTTATTTAACATTAAAATACATAAAAATTATGTGTATGTTATTATTTGTCAGTGTTTTTCCTGACTATTCTTTCAAAAAAGTACATGTAATTGCTCCATAGCAGTAGCTGCAATGATTAACTACATGTACTCATCATTGTTCCTCTACAGCTACCTCAGAAGCTCACTTAACAATTTTGCACTTTTCCTTCAAGGACTGTAGAAAGCTAAGCTTGCATGTTGACTTCATCCCAGGTGTCAATTTTTTTCAATTTGAATATATTCAAAAATTTCAAATGGATATCATTGGGCACCATCAGCTCTTTCAACAAAATCTTCAGTTTTATTTCTGAGCATTGCCTCCAATTTCAAACTGTCTGAATGAAAGAGAAAACATCATTCAAAATATGAATCCAACCTGAAAAAGAAAAGCAGCAAATACATGTATTATCACAATTAATTGAAAACAAAATACTTTAAATCATAGGCAACACATTACAACGTAGAGGTATCTAAAAGAAACTGAAAAAAGAATGACTTGTTAGGGGAGAAAGAACACAAAGATTGATCTGTATCTAATCTCAGTATCATAAACGGGTTAATTTCTTTTCAGGGCGTACAAGTAAACAAAGTTTGATTTCTCAAGAAATTGGTACTCAAGATATTAACTAGACAGTAAATGCCTATGTTCAGAGGAATTTGACCTTTGACCTTGATAGTCACTTACTTGTTAGAGGGTGTCAGCATAATACTAGAAGTTTGTCAAGCAAAAGGGTTCTTTGAACTTCTTTCTCAAGATGTTGATGGAATTTATCAATATCAAAATCAATATGAATCATCGGTTTTTGGGGTACCAATGTACCATTTTTTTCTGTCAAGCAAATGGTTTTCAAGAAATTGAACAGACAATATTTTCCTATGTCTAGAATAAATTGACCTTGACCTTTAACCTTGTGACCTCAAAAACAATGAGTTTCTTCAAAATAGGTAGAGACCATGCATCTATAGCTACCTTCATTTCTCAAGATAGTAAGTGCCCTTGTTGGTTTAAATATTATGTCCAGAAAATACTAAAATCTTAAAATTAAAGCTATAACTTAAAAAAGGATGACAAATCAATCTGAACATGTCATGTGGTAAATTGTACATAACAATTCAACAAAAATTGCCAAAATAAATTAAAAAGCTATTTTTAAAAAAACTATAGTTTCAGATATATCTCTGGACAATGTGACAGGCAAACAGAAATTATGATTCCAGTATACGTCCCCAAAACTTTGGGGGGGGGGGAGGGGGGTATATTTAAAGGCCGAGGTTTTCAACCGGTCGGTTTTCCTCAGGAAAGTTTGGTGTGGGGTGGAGCTTAATCGAAGCGGATGAGAAGCCCTGAGGGAAACGCTGGCTTGTGTATACCTACCTTTATACACAGGATGTTACCTGCATGTATTACCTGTATACGTTTTCCTACGACACAGTAAAACAAATTCATTGTTTTTCTTGTGTAGGTCAATTGAAATGTTGACCGTAACATTCTGAAATAAAGCATGCGAAATGTTTTTGTTGCGGACAGAATCCTACTCAAATTCTTTCTTTTAAAATTAATCTTTTGTAATAATTTGTCAATTTCAATTATACTGTGTGTTTGTTAATTAATTTCACATGTTATAACGAATATTATAGGACCAAAATTTGTCGTTGTAAGTTGGCGACACAAAGGGAAGTAATTCAAATTGCACGTCGTGTACGCAATACAAAAGAAGAAAGTGGGTCATAAATAAGTCTCTCCGTAATAATAAAACTCAGAAACGCTGTTTGGAGGCTAAATTGTGTAGAAAGATAATAAATTAAATAAATACTAATAGAAGATAATTCCTACGTGATTTTTCAATGACGCATTGTCTGTAAAAATGGCCAGGGCTTTGGACTGGGGGTGATTCCCTCGGCAGCTATAAGTGAAACGGGAATTGAATCACCTGCATTGTACTTTTTTCCTTTGGGGTTCATAATTTCAAATATTACATGCAAAGCAAGATGTTATAATCCGAATAATTGCTTTTCTAAAACTGGTTATTATACTGTAACTTCGTCGCCATGTCTTGAAGAAAAGCGACACGTATTTGTCTGATAAAGTTTCACTTTAGCAATATTACAATGTTGTCATACTTGTTTAAAAAAAATAATTTTATTTAATTCCATGATATTTCAAACGCAGGTCGGTAAATTTTGTTAAGGTAGAATAAATGTACGTTAGTTAAATTATGTTTTGACAAATTATAATTATCGATTGTAATCGTGAAATGAAATCCCCCTTTTTAAATTACAATTTTAATATA